AAGAACATACCTTAACCACAACAAACAATTCAAGGGAAAGATCAATGTTTTTACCCATTTAATATGTTAGTGTTTCATCTACAAAAGGACATTAGGTTTTGCAAATAATTAAACTTGGACATCTAAGACTCCCTGTCTAAATAATACCCACATAAGATTTAAGTTTATTGAATGATATGCTGAGTCAATGTGTGAAACCTCTATCCACAAATGGCTACCTTTCTTTCAGAAATAGGTTAAACATTTACACACTTCTACGCTGTTGTAGTGTGTAAAACGATGCCCTGTGTTGCTTCTTTTAGTAAATAGTATCTGTATCCTACTGAGTTTTAGTGACTTCCGTATCACTGTTCAGGGCTGAGCTTATTTCCCTATCTGGATTACTTGATATCGTCCCCCTTAGTTCTTTATGCAAAATAATGAATCAAAATTCTGACTTTAGTAGGTGTATTAAAAACATTTTCATTGTATATGAATATCCTTCATTTCCACACAGCTGATTATTGCAATGTTTGTCAGGAACAAGCTTATAATTGGAAACCGGATATTACTGGGTGAGAACCGCATGTGTGTGTGTGTGTGTGTGTGTGTGTATGTGGATTATGCTGTGTGTATGTACATGTGAGTGTGCACATGTGTGTAGTGTATGTCAATGTGGAGTGTGTATGTGTCTGTCACCATATCTCTGTGCTGTGTGGTGAATGCATATGTGTCTGTGTGTGTGTGTGTATGTGTGTGTGCGGTGTCTGTGTGCCTGTATAGGGTGTGTGTGTCTGTGTGTGGTGTGTGTCTGTATGGTGTGTGTATGTGTGCATGATTTGTCTGTGTGATGCACGTGGTGTGCATATATATGTGTGTCTCTTTGTGTGTGTGTCTACATGATGTGTGTGTGTCTCTGTGTGTATGTGCACATCCCAAGTTACTGTGGCTATACATGGCACCAATCGCACCCGCAGACAGTACACAGCTGTGCATGTGGGTGGGAGGCAGTGAGCTCAGGTTCCCAGGTGCAGGAGGTGTCCAGGATCATAGATGTCTACTTGGGAATTAGGGGAGCCATTTCCTTGTGCTCTGAATTTCTATGTAATCAAAATCTTTATAGGTTGGGTCTTAAAACCCTGTGTCATGAAGGATGACAGCACCATACCTACCAGATGCCAACAATGAAATGTTCTCATTAAAATTTGTTTTAATGAAATTGACAATAAATACTATTTTCAACTACCAGATGCCAACAATGAAATGTTCTCCTTAAAATTTGTTTTAATGAAATTGACAATAAATACTATTTTCAACATAAATTAATCACCCTGCCCTTGTTACAAAAATAACACTACTGTAATGGACATCTCTTTGCATTTTACATTTTGAAGTAGCTCTTTAGACGTGAGACAGCTTCACTGTATAGCTAAAGTTTTGAACCTGTTTCATTCTCTTTTTTTTTTTAACTGTTGACATTATAAGGTGAGAAATATACATTTGCTTCACCTCAGCCTATCTTTTTTTTTCCTTTGGATATAGGACTTTCAGGGCTTTCAGCCATTCTGCTTTCATAGGTGGTAAATTACTTTAGAAAGAAATATTCCCTTGCCTCTTGCAAAAACAAGACACAG